TTGGGGGGCATAGGGAGGGATGTGCAACACAGAGAAGACAAGTAGTGAGTCTACAGCATCTTACTACACTGATGGACAGTGACTGTAATGGGGTTTGTGGGGGAGACTTGGTGAAGGGGGGAGTCTAGTAACCATAATGTTCTTCATGTAACTGTAGATTAATGATAATAAAATGAATTTTAAAAATATCAATTCTAAATAGCACAATTCATGTGTGCAATATATTGTTTGTAAGAAATTAGAACAAGGATAAGACCAAAGTCATCCTAGACTTCAAGCTGGACACACAGAACTCACTTACATGCTGTTTCTTCCACCCAAAACACTCTTCCTCAACTCTCTTTGCCTGGCCAACTCCTTCTCATTCTTTATGCTCAGCTTAAGTATCCCTTTCTCCAGGAAGCTTTCCTTGACCCCTCAGATTAGGTTTGATGTGAGCTCCTGCATACTCTGTGCCTCTCAAGCATTTGTAATGCCATGCTTGTGTCTGTCCCGGGACTGAACAGGGTCGGTAGTGACCATACCTGGAACCCTGGCACAGTGTCCGGCACAGTGAGGTTCTCTCTTAGAGACTACTCCTCCCTGCAAGGCGCCTGTTTGCTTGCCCCTACTCACATTACTTTTCTCCTGCCTTTTCTCTATAAATCCAATGCATTCCTCCAAGCTGGGTCACCTCCACCATGAAGTCTTCCTTGATCTCTAGGCCCCTGGAAGGTCAGAGCTTGAATAATATCCTATCCAACCATCATGAACAGATGAAGAGCCCGAGGCCCTGAGAGCAAAATGCCCTGTCCAGGCCCCTGTTGGGCCAATGTGGGCAGAGGTTAGGCTGGAGTCTCACCTGGCCAAGGAAGGAGTTGGTGCGGAGAGCGATGGTAATAGCGTTGACTACCAGCAGCACGGCCAGCAGCAGCTGGAAGGCCGGGTGTCGCAGCAGATTCTTGACATACATGTGAGTGATGAACTCCTGCATTTCCCAGGCATCCTGGGAGAGGGCAGGGGAACTTCCTTCAGGCCAGGTCATGGCAGGAGGCCCCTGCCTGGACACTTGCTCTCAGTGAATGGAGGCCCTTGGAGGGGCCTTTAGGGGGAAAGTTGCCTGAGGGGAGATCATGGAAGGGAGGCAGAGGTCACTACATGAATGGCCACTAACAGCGGGTCACTGCTGTGGGATCTTATGGGAGTATGTGCCAGGAAGATTCTTCTGCCGTCTCTGCTTGTGAGAGACTGTCATTATATAGGGGTTTGCGGAGGGCACTGCCAGGTGGTTGCTAAGGTATCATGGGGAGGTCACTGCTAGGGAGGGCCTCTGGGGGACATTTAGAAGGCAGGAGGGGAGAGTCACTATGAGGGCCTTTTGCTCCAGGTGCCCAGCTGCAGGAGGGTGACATGTGGGCGAGGGCCCCTGCAGGGCCCAGCTGCAGGCTGCAGCTCCGTCTTGCCTCACCTTTCTACTGGTAATGTCTCTGCGATCGATGAGCACTTGCTCCTCTGGCCAGACGCAGGGCTCAGGAGAGGCACTCTGCGAGGGTGACAAGAGGGCCCATCAGTGCAGCCACTGCCCGTCCAGACCCAGTACAGTCCTCCTGGGCCCCACCTCACCTCTGGATACCCAGCTTGGGTTGTGGAGCCAGGCTTGAGTCCCCAACCAGGACACTCAACAGTTTGATGTTGATGTCGGTCCATTGCTGCCACCAGGTCTTTTCGTTGTGGGTCCCAGTGGCTCAGCTTCCTCCCTCTCCTCAAAGAAACTCCATTCCAAGTGGTCTGGCTCCACCTTGTGGTGACATCACAGAGAACTCTGTGACATCCAGCTGTCTGCATTCCACCAAAGAACCCGAATACCATGAGAAGCTCCTCCCACTGCCAGGGGAGCTAAGGGGCTGGGATCAGAAGTCAGACTGATCATTCAGGTCTCCTGTGTGGCCTGCGTGGACACACAGGGATGTGTCCCTGCTCTGGGTCCAGGAGCCGCAAGTGAGACTGGTTAGGGGAAGAAGAAAGGTGTTTTGCCACAGGGCCCTCCTAGTAGACCTCAACCCACACCCCTTCCCAGCAGCTACCCCAACCCACCACCCCAGTCTCTGGGACTGCCCACCCTGCCCTTCCCCATCAGTAGAATGAAAAGCTGGTCTCTATTTCCCATTTTGTCCCCCTGGAGAGGAGGCAGAGGAGTACCCTCTGGTCTCCGAAGGGCTGGGGAGGGCTGGGCGTGAGAAGCCCTCACTAGCGTGGATCAGCAATCCATCAACCTGGCGGGCACAGAGCTTCAGGTGCAGAGCAGTGGCCAACAGGTGGCACATGGGGCTAGACAAGAGTATTCACTCTGTTTGACAGCTTTCCATCCTGGGGAATGGTATCTGGAATCAGGAATCTCTGGGAAACAGATTCCTCATTCTAATATGGAAGTTAAAGGCACACATAGATTCACTTTAAAGAAACTGACTTTATTTGGTTGAAAAGTGTCTTTTGGGTAAAGTGAATGAACACCTGTATAGGTTGGTTTGGGGAAAAAGTGCCAAGGGACTGAGGGGGTCACGTTTGTGCCCCACACGTCAGAGGACAGGGTGGGAGAGTTTCTTTCAGCCCAGCCTTCTGTTCCTTCATTGGCAAGGGAGGAGAGGGAGGGGAGGCACGGAGCCCACTTCACTTTACCCCACTGCAGGGAAGAGAGGAGCAGAAACGGTGGAGGCTCAGGCAGAAAGGGTCAGCTTGGGGTGAAATCATGGACTAGCCCTGTTTCCAACTGTGAACAGAACCCAGGGATGCTGTGTCCTAGACATGTCAGAGGCTGGGGGTTGAGGCGGTCCTCAAGGCTGGAGGTCAGAAGCTAGGGTGCTGGGCAGGGTCAGAGGCCAGGAGGTTGGCGGTTGCTCTCTGGGGTTAGGGAGCAGAGATGGGAGTGCTCCTCAGGGTCAGAAGGCATGGGCTGGGAAGACTGTATTCTGGAGTTAGAGGCTGTGACTTGGGAGGTACTCTCGGCCCGTACCACCCCCCAGGCCCCCAGGCCCTCTGAATAGAGCTCCTGGTTCTGTTCCTTCCACCGTCGGAACTTCTCTCCGGTCAGCTCAGGGTCTCCTAGCACTTCCTCCAAGGCCTGCAGCTCCTGCAGTTTTGCCTGTGAGGGGATTAGGGCCTAAGGGGCCATGATCACCCAGGGAGGGGAGCAGAGCCCGAGCCCAGAGCTAATTCTGGAGTCCAGGGCCTAGAACCCAGCACTTGTCAGGGAATCCAGAGCCTGGCTCTGGGAACCTAGAACGTGGCCCAGAGGCTAGAGCCAGGAGCCAGAGCTGAAAGCCCAGAGCCCAGCCTCTCAGCATGCCCAGTGCTGCCCAGCTGACCTTGAGTGTGCTCTGCAGTGCCCGCACACGGTGCACTCGCTCATTGAGCCGGGGGTCTTGGTTGCGGCGCATGAAAGAGCTCCGCCATTGTTCATGGGTGAGAGGCTGCAGCTGGCCCAGGAGGGACACACCACCCTGCTTCAGCCCCCATACCATTCCTTCCAGGGCCCCTTCACTGTTGTCTGTGGGAGGGGGGAGCAGATGAGCACATGCCCGTCCCAGCCCCCACCCGCCTCTCAGCTCCCAACCTCAGCACAACACCTGTTAGAGGGCCAAAGGAGGTCCGTGGGCTGCCCTGGGTGGGGGTGGCTACAGGTGATGTGTCTCCACGGAGTGGACTCCAAGCTCGGGCTGGGCTGGGCTGCAAGGAGAAGAGGGTATCAACCTGAGCTCCACACCCTGCCATTCTCCCCTCACCCGTCCCTTACTCACCGAAGCTGAGCGAGAGCCAGCCTCATCATCCGGGTCTTCTGCTTCTGTCTCACTGTAGCAGTCTGGGGTGGACAGGAGCAGTTGGAGAACTCATTAAGCTTCATAGGGTCTTGAAAGGCGAGGGAGTGGGCTAGGGCATTTAAGTTCCCAGCCCCCAGTCCAGCAAAGGCAGAAGCTCAGGTGAGACCCACCCCTGTAAGACACCCACCTTCCTCTCGGGAAGGAGGGGCCCCACCTGGAGACTGGTACTTGGAAATGCAGGTAATGAGATGGCGCACCCACCTGTGGAGGGGCAAATGGGTCTCAGGGGGAGTTTCCATTTACTGTATGCCAGGGGATTTTCATTCATGTGATCTAATTTAATCCTCAGAGCAACTCTGAGAGGTACAGAAACCATTATTAGCCCATTTTTATAGATGATGAAGCTGAGGCTTAGAGAAGTGAGTGCCTTGACCAACCCCCATCGGCAAAGCAGGGATTTGAATCCAGGCTCCTGAGCCGATGCTCCCAAGCACCATGTGGAATTCGGGGGTGGGGAGGGAAGTACTCACATGCTCAAATCTGCTAGGGTATCAGCAGCGAAGATGAAGGGTTTGTACACATCATGGGTGAGCTGGAACACACTGCCAGGGGGCACAGGGGCTTTGCTCAGCCTGGGTGTGCCTATCTGGAACCCACGAGACTGGACTGGGAGTCCCAGCTACCTGCTGCCCCACCTGCCCCTCTGTCACCTAACCTCTCCCTTTCTCTCCCCACCCCACAGCCGATCACATTCCAGGACTTAACTATTTTTTCTTCTGATCCTGTCCACTTTCCAGACTGTAGTTGGAGACATTGATGAGGCCCTCTGCCTTCTCATCCTGGGGGATCACAGCATGAGGGTCAGCGTGAAGTGCCAGCACCCTTGAGGCTGGCCAGGCAGAGGAGCGGAGAGGGCATTTCCTGGACACTCCAACCACAAACCACCCAGTGCCCAGACTCAGAGCAGGAATCTGGGGTGGGGGCGGGGATGACTGTGGGGTGCCTTTGAGCTGGGAAAGGGGAGCCAAAGATATCCAGACAATTGGCCACAAAAGAGGAGCCTGCACATGCGTTTGTTCCGTCAGTAAACACAGACCAGGCTGCTTGGTACCCCTGAGCTCTGCAAATGCTGTTTTACCTTCTTGGGTTTTGTTCTCACCTCCACCTGACTCACCCCCTGGATGCTTTCTCCAGAAGCCTTCTCGACTCCTTAAGCCACCCCTGCTGGCCCATTCCACCCATCCTCTGGCCTTTTCCCTCATCACAGCCTGTGTCCCCTGTACTGTGCTGAGTGTGTATTCATTTTGCCCTCTACCAGCCTGGAGTAGCCAGGACCAACTGAGTGTCCCAGTGCCTACCTAGCCCAGGGTTGGGTACACCATAGGCACCTGAATGTATGTTGGGTGAAGAAGCAATCTGAACAAATGGCCTATCACTAGGATGGACAGAATAAAAGAAGGAAAGGTGGGTGGACTAAAGGTGATGCTTTCTACACGGCCTGTGACGCCTTTTCCAGACTGTGTTTACACACACTAGCTCATTTCTCTCTGAACAGTGTCCCCGTTTTACAGATGAGTTCACTGGGGCTCAGGAGGCTCTGGGGTCTGCCTGTGACCACATATGGGTATGGATGATGGGATCAGGACAAGAACCATGGCTCTGACTCACTGGCTTCCCTGCATGTATGTATGGCTCTCACCTGGGGCTGGTGGTACCAGTAGAGTGTGTGTCCCTTGAGTACAAACCAGCAGCGGCGCCAGCGTGGGCCCATGAAGCCACTGGCCACCTTGCGCAGCAGAAGCCAGCCATCGCAGTCCGGCCGGCCCAGCTCCCGGCATGACACCCGCCGGCGGCTCAGTCGCATCGCCACGCCTGTAGCACAGCACAGCCTAGTCGGCGAGGGGCTGGAAAGGCTCCCCATACCGCCAGATGTGCTCCCTTGCCCTCCATGAAGGTCCCCAGCTGGCATTTCTGAGCCCAGACTCTGTGCTTGTGATGTGACAAGCGTCTTCCAAGGTAGGGATGACTCTTTCCATTTAGAGATGAGGAAATGGAAGACCCGGGGGCAGCCGTTTGCTCGAAGTCACAGAGCTGGTGAGAGGCCCAGCCCGGAGCACAGGTCTGTCTGACCCTAGAAACAGAGCTGTTTCCAGGAGAGGCGGTGCGCAAAGTATGTATTTGGGGCATGGTCTTGCCCAGCGCTGTAAAGACCTCTAAGAGCTCCTCACATCAGGGGACCCCCACACAGGCAGGCGCACCTCCTACCTTTTGATTTCTTCCGACCAGGGACAGGACTCTGAAAGGACCATAAGCGGTTAGAGAAGGGTCTGGGTCCAGAGCCAAACATCCCTCCTTGCTGAGCCCCCGAGCCTACCTCGTCAGGGTGTTCTGGGGGCTCCTGGGTCTCTGCTGCCCCTGCTGGGAATTTGGCTGGGGACGCAGGGAGGATGGGCAGACAGGCCTCAGGGTCAAGGGAGGTAGAACCTGTCAGGGAGGGAGGAGAAGAGGGTCCATGAGCCCAGCCCCAGGTCCGGTGGTAGGTGAGGGTGTTGAAGTCTGGGGGTCACAGCCAGGCGCCCCCCCATGCATTGCTAAGGGCACTTGCCACCTGGTCGGGGTTTGAAAATAGCTGTCCAGGCAGAACTGGGTCCAGGACTTGGGTTTGAAGTCAGGTTGAAAGCAAAGATATCTTCAGATGGGGACCTGGGGAGGACAAGGGGTGATGAGATGGGCCCTTGGCTCCCCCACCGTGATGCACCCAGGCCAGAGCCTGTTACCTGGGAGACTGTGGGGTCAGCAATGGTGTCCTCAGGTGTGGGGAGCCCAGGGCCTGAGGCGGGGTCTGGGGAACAACCAGAAATGGGGCGATGGAGCTGACGACAAGGTCTGCATACAGACTGAGAGCTGTGGCAGGGGAAGGTACCTGTGGAGGGGTCTCCGGCACGGGCACCTTCTTTAGCACTAGGCTGACCCTGGCTGGCTCCCGCAGCAGCTCCCTCACCACGTTCTTATGGGGCCAGCCCACCTGGGGGACAGGGCGAGGGGCAGGGCAGGGCCACCAGGCTGGATCGAACCGGGCAGGAGGCTCTGAAATAGCCCAGCAGCCCTTGCCCTTGCCCTTGGAGTCCCCTCCCAGTCTCCTGTTCTCCCTCACCTCCTTCTCCAGGAAGCCTCTGGGAGCCCCTTCACCTGGGCTCTGCTAGGGCCTGTGTGAGCTGGCTCGTCTCATGAAGGCAGCTCCCACAACCCTGGCCTCCCCACCAGCCCAGGCGCCCTCCCCATTCACCAGTCCAGGTTCTGCTCAGTACCCCCTTCACCTGCCACCATGTCCATCTCCTCCTCACTCACCACCACCTGCTCGTTGACCTGGACAATCTCGTCTCCAGGCAGGATCTGCAGCCCGGAGTTGGTGGGGACCTGGAGTTGGGGGTGGGGCTCAGAGGGCGTGCTCTCTAGGAGCCTGAAGCTGGCTTGGCTGGCAAGGCAGAGGGCCTTGGAGGCGGGCAAGGGTGTGAGAAGAGTATGAGGCTCTCACCTGGGTGCCTACTTGGGTCACGAAGTGTAGGCAGTTGCTGGTGGTGTGGATTTCCAGGCCCTGTGAGGCGGAGGCTGTAGTCACTGGGGGTGTGGGGGCAGCAGGGCCAGGGGAAAGGACCCCTTCTGGACAGCAGGATTCTTGGGTGGGTGAAAGTGGGGAAGGAGCTGGCCCCAGGTTGGCGCTGCCCAGCTTTCTGGTGACTTTGATCTTGCCACTCCTGTCCTGGCCTCTGCCTCCTCCTCTGATAAGGGCCAGAGGGAAGCTAAGGCTGCTGACTTCTGAGATACGAAATTCTCTGAAAGTCCTCCTGAGGGGATAAGCAGGGCTTGGGGTGCAGGGGAGACAGGGGCAGGGCTGCGGGCTATGGTTTTCCCAACTGATCAAAGATGAAGGCAGAAAAGTTTATGTCCTCTCCCCAATCCCCTAACCCGCTGGGTCTGTGTCCCCAGGCTGAAATGTGTCACCTGAGACCACACCAGCTACAGACCCTCAGGATTGGAGATGTTTAATGGTGGTGAGACCCCAGGAAAGTCCTCCAGGCCTGTAACATCTATACAGAAATAGGCTTTCCAGCCTTAACAGTACAGGATTCTGTGGGCTCCTAGAATCATATGTCAGGGCCCAGACAAGGCTGCTGGGGGTCAGAGGTGAGAGATGAGAAGTCAGGGCTCACCAAAGGATCATCCAGCTGAACGCGCTCTAGCACGGCCCTCTGTTCCAGCAGCTCATAGGGGCTGTAGCTCAGGATGTGGTGGCAGATCCCAGCTACGTGGCTGCACTAGGGAGACGAGAAGGACATCTAGCTTGAGCCCCATCCTACCCCGAGCCCTGCTCCCCACCCACACTCACAATCCTCAGGACTTTGCTCTCCTTCTCAGCCGCTGGAATGTCCTGGAAAGAGAGAGAGAACAGTGGCTCCCCTGAGTAGGGAGCACTGCTTTCTCCTGAGGGCAGGGTGGGATTCCCTGCCGTCCTTCCCAGTGTCCTGCACCCCGGCTCCTTTCCCAGAACTTTATAGCCTCAGAGTTTTGGCCCCAAGGAATCATCCCCCAGATGCCAGGCCCCCAGAAGTCACCACACATGCCCTCTCCTGCTCAACCCCCTCCTGATAATCAAACTTCCTGAGCTTCCCTGTCAGCCAGACCCCATGTCCCCATTGCCCCCTACCCAGTGGACAGGCCTGCTTTCTTCCTGCCTTTGCCTCCTCCCAGCCCCCACACCCGATCCTGTGCTGATTCACAGGTTATAAAAAGCTCTTAGCCTGACTTGGTCTCCACAGCCTGGGCCAAGCCTGGCCCTGGTTCTCTTACCTCCTGCAAGGCCTGGCCCAGCTCCCCACACAACTCCCCAATCTCCTGGCAGGCTGAGAAGTCGTTTAAGTGGGAGAAGAGGTACCTGTCAGGGGAAGGATAGAGCACTGGTTAAGAGGCTTAAGGTCAAGTCACAGAACCACTTGGAGCCAACTAGTCATCTAAGCTGTGGGGATACCTGCTCTGAGGGGTTTGGTTTAGGGTAAAGGAGATGACTGATACATCTAAAGAGCAGAGTCCAGGACTTATATGTTAAGCACCTAATACATGCCAGGCCCTATTCTAGGCACTAGGGAGACAGACATCCAACACATAATTACATCCATGATGATTTAACTTCAGCTGCTTTGAAATGTAAGGAGCTCTGAGAGTGTATATCAGGGAAGCTTCCCTGAGGAGATGACATTTGAGCTGCAACCTGTGGGACAAGCAGCAGCCAGTGAAGGGGGTGGAGACTCTATGCAATGTCATTGTTATAACTGTTATGATTGCAAGCTGGAGGTGGGGTGGGAACTCAGGCATACCAGGGCCCCTGCACAGACCAGCTAACCTCTTTGCCCTGCTCTGTCGCATCTGAACAAGAGCTAAGCTCCATTTTTCTCTCCCAGGCCCTGGAGAAGGACAAGGACAAGCAGGGTCCTGTCACCAGTCACCCCACCCTGGGCGCTGGGAGAAGCCCAAGGTACCTGTTGAGCCAGAAGAGGAGGGTATGGGCCGCATGCACCAGCTCCACAGCTTTGCTGAGGACATTGGCTGGGGGCTCGGCACTCCACAGGTGGTCCTGCACTAAGCTCTGGAGGGCACGGGTCTTCTCCAGCAGCCTCTCTGTCAGGCTCCGTAGGTTCTGTGTCTGTAGCCCGGAGCTCTGTGCCAGAGAGGGGGCAGGTTACCTTCTGGCAGTGGCCAACTCCTACCAGCAACCCCCAGGTGGGTGGTAGTGGCAGCCAGTGTGGCCACTGTTTACTCACTAGGGCCTGGAGCTGTTCCACCCCTTGCAGGATTAGCTCCTGGTGGCCCAGAGGCCACACAGTCAGAGCCTCAAGGCTGTGGGGACAGAGCTGGAGCAGGTACTTGCCAGGTAGCTCCCAGCCCTCAAAGGGATAGTCCTGCAGGGAATCATCAAGGCCTGGAGGGAAAGGAGGGGTCAGCAAGGAGGGAGCCAGCGGGTATCATAGCCTTTTAAGCTAGCTCTACACTCCTGCAAAGCCCTTGTCCCTCCAACCTATTCCTAATGACAACCCTGAGATCGAGACTGTATTCTGCCCATTTTACAGATAAGACTACTGAGTTGAGAAGTAGGATAGTAATAGGGCAGTGGTTGCCAAAGGGTGGTCCCCAGACCAGCAACAGTGGCAACCTCACTGGAGAACTTGTTAGAAATACAAATTCTCAGCCCCATGCCATTCCTACTGAATCAGAACTCAGGGGTAGAGTAGGGACCAGCAGTCTGCGTTTTAACAAATCCTCCAGGTGTCCTAATGCTTGTTCAAGTCTGGGAACTACTGACATAAGGGATAAAAGCATGGGGCTTTGGAGTGAGGGAGACCTGAGTGCTAGCACTTGAGCAAGTAACTTAATTGCTCTGTGCCTTGGTTTCCTCACCTGTAACATGGGGATAATAAAAGTACCTACCACCTAATCATACATGTATTAAATGATGTGACATGTCAAGTACTTGGCCCACTCCCTGGTTCATGGAAGACAGTTAACAGGTACCCTATTATGATCGCCAGACTCTACCATGATCTAGAAGGCCCTGTAAGATCAGGCTGCTGCCTGCCTCTTCAGTCTCATCTCTCGGAACAGCTCCTCAGACTTCAGAACCAGAGTACTAACTCCCTGCAGCTCCTGGATAAAACTGCCCTTTTGCCTCAGGGTCCTTGCATGTGCTATTCCTTCTGCTTGGACTGCTCTTCCAGCTCCTTCACTCCCTTTTTCATCTAACTCTCACAGAAAGCCTTTCACAATTCCCCAGGCTGGGTCAGGGCCTCTCCAGCTCCCACTGCCCCGTGCCTTCACAAACCCCTGCACACGAGTGTCAGCCTCTTCCACTCGATCATGAGCTCTTCAAGGACTAGGCCTTATGTACCTGTTCATCTCTAACTCCAGCCCATGCCTGGCACAATGTAGACAAGGAAGACCAAAAATAAGTAAAGTATCTACTGAATGCTTCCTATGTGCCAGGCAAAACTTTAAGAGCTCTATGCATATTGCCTTTGATCCTCACTGAATCTAGGAGGTAAAGACTATTGTTAACTCCATTTTACTGATGAAAAAACTGATACAAATAGAGGTAAGTAGGCTTGCTCACTCTTTGAAGGAATTCCTTCCATTCCAAGGCAAGGACCATCAGTGGGGAATGTTTGTGTGACATTATGAGCACTGGACTGGGAGTTCAGGAACTGGTTAGTCCACAGCTACAGACTCTTGAGCAACTCCTTTTCTATGTACAGGGAATGTGCTGTGCTGCCTGTCTCCAAATGGGCCCTGATATTGAGCTACGCATACTAGGCATTTGACATGATTGCCTTGTTTTATCTACTTGAGGAGATCAGAGTTGCCTTCCTCATTTTATGGATAGAGAAACAGATGTATGCCACAGAGCTGGTGAGTGGAGGGCCGGGCCTGGAACCCCATCTGGGAGTCTGACTCCAGCCCTGAGTCGCTGCTCTTCAGGGGCTGTCGTGGTCACCCTGACCCTGGCAACAGCACTCAGAAAGGCCCCCTCTATTCCAGCTCCCCTCTTTACGAGGGATGTCCCCACTCACTTTGCCCCTCCCAGCGGCACCCATAAAGTCCTTACTTCTCTGAGTCTTTGGGCAGCCTTGGCGGCTGCCCACCCATCTAGGCTCACAGAGTCTGGACAGCACCTCCTCCCCTGGAGGCCCGTAGGGTGGGGCTGTGCCAACCCCTCGGTCTGGCTGGGGCTTCAGCTTCTCTCCCTGGGAGCCTCAAGGTAGGAAGAAGGGTAAAAGACAAGGGGGCCGGCCCTATTCCAAAGCGTGGGCAAATAACTTCTGGCTCAGTGCATCAGTTTCCGCTTCTGAAAAATGGGTTTAATAACAGCCCCGGGGTTGAGGGAAGATGGAGATAAAATGGGCGTGGGCCCCAGTGGCCGCCCCCTCTTTGTTTTCATTACACGATCACCTCCTCCCCAGCCTGGCAGCCTTTAGGGATGATGGGTCGATGGGAGACCCCTTCTGGGTCGTCCGCCCCCGGGGTCATCTCGGCTGTCCTGTCTCTATTAATGTACCAGGTACCCGGCAAACGCTCTAGCTTACTCGTTGGCTGACTAACCACTGTCAAACTCGGCAGGTCCCTTTTCCTTTTCCTCTCACCGTCCCAGTTCCCCTCAAGCCCGACTCTGCCTCGGCCCCACCCACCTCTCAGCCAAGTTGCCACCTTCTCGGGGGTCCAGGTCGCTACTGGCTCCATGGCCGCGGCCAGCCGGTTCGGATCTGCGCCGGTTCCGTCCCGCCCGCGCAGGAATTTCCGCTCCCAGACCCCAGGCCTGGGGAGGAGCCGGGCTGGGCCCTGGGCGGAGCCACCAGCATACCTGGCCCACGAGGCTGGCCAGGTGAGGCGCTACGACAGCCATTGGCCCGCCGTCTGCCCGCCTCCTGCCCCGCCCTGCAGGCGTCCCCGGACGGGCGGTGGCCTGACCCGGGGGCGGTGCCGCTGGTGTGTGACCCAGGCGATCCTGCCCCGAACCGGCCTCAAATCTTAGGGAGGGGCTGTGACCTTTATGCTCCTCAAAAAGAGGCCGAAGGGAGGGCAGTGAGCACAGCAACAAAGCGAAGAGGTTAGGGTGCCAGAGCCCTGGGTGCAAATCCCAATTCCGCAGCTTGTTTTCTGTGTGACCAGGGGCTGACCCTCCCGGACGTGCCAGTTTCCCAGTCTGTAAAATGGGCTGCTGTGCGTTAACAGCTCTGAAAACTTTTGAACAGCGTTTTTTAGCCCTTCACTATTTCTTTTTGCACCATGGACTAGACTGTATTCTGCCCATTTTACAGATAAGACTACTGAGTTGAGAAGTAGGATAGTAATAGGGCAGTGGTTGCCAAAGGGTGGTCCCCAGACCAGCAACAGTGGCAACCTCACTGGAGAACTTGTTAGAAATACAAATTCTCAGCCCCATGCCATTCCTACTGAATCAGAACTCAGGGGTAGAGTAGGGACCAGCAGTCTGCGTTTTAACAAATCCTCCAGGTGTCCTAATGCTTGTTCAAGTCTGGGAACTACTGACATAAGGGATAAAAGCATGGGGCTTTGGAGTGAGGGAGACCTGAGTGCTAGCACTTGAGCAAGTAACTTAATTGCTCTGTGCCTTGGTTTCCTCACCTGTAACATGGGGATAATAAAAGTACCTACCACCTAATCATACATGTATTAAATGATGTGACATGTCAAGTACTTGGCCCACTCCCTGGTTCATGGAAGACAGTTAACAGGTACCCTATTATGATCGCCAGACTCTACCATGATCTAGAAGGCCCTGTAAGATCATGCTGCTGCCTGCCTCTTCAGTCTCATCTCTCGGAACAGCTCCTCAGACTTCAGAACCAGAGTACTAACTCCCTGCAGCTCCTGGATAAAACTGCCCTTTTGCCTCAGGGTCCTTGCATGTGCTATTCCTTCTGCTTGGACTGCTCTTCCAGCTCCTTCACTCCCTTTTTCATCTAACTCTCACAGAAAGCCTTTCACAATTCCCCAGGCTGGGTCAGGGCCTCTCCAGCTCCCACTGCCCCGTGCCTTCACAAACCCCTGCACACGAGTGTCAGCCTCTTCCACTCGATCATGAGCTCTTCAAGGACTAGGCCTTATGTACCTGTTCATCTCTAACTCCAGCCCATGCCTGGCACAATGTAGACAAGGAAGACCAAAAATAAGTAAAGTATCTACTGAATGCTTCCTATGTGCCAGGCAAAACTTTAAGAGCTCTATGCATATTGCCTTTGATCCTCACTGAATCTAGGAGGTAAAGACTATTGTTAACTCCATTTTACTGATGAAAAAACTGATACAAATAGAGGTAAGTAGGCTTGCTCACTCTTTGAAGGAATTCCTTCCATTCCAAGGCAAGGACCATCACTGGGGAATGTTTGTGTGACATTATGAGCACTGGACTGGGAGTTCAGGAACTGGTTAGTCCACAGCTACAGACTCTTGAGCAACTCCTTTTCTATGTACAGGGAATGTGCTGTGCTGCCTGTCTCCAAATGGGCCCTGATATTGAGCTACGCATACTAGGCATTTGACATGATTGCCTTGTTTTATCTACTTGAGGAGATCAGAGTTGCCTTCCTCATTTTATGGATAGAGAAACAGATGTATGCCACAGAGCTGGTGAGTGGAGGGCCGGGCCTGGAACCCCATCTGGGAGTCTGACTCCAGCCCTGAGTCGCTGCTCTTCAGGGGCTGTCGTGGTCACCCTGACCCTGGCAACAGCACTCAGAAAGGCCCCCTCTATTCCAGCTCCCCTCTTTACGAGGGATGTCCCCACTCACTTTGCCCCTCCCAGCGGCACCCATAAAGTCCTTACTTCTCTGAGTCTTTGGGCAGCCTTGGCGGCTGCCCACCCATCTAGGCTCACAGAGTCTGGACAGCACCTCCTCCCCTGGAGGCCCATAGGGTGGGGCTGTGCCAACCCCTCGGTCTGGCTGGGGCTTCAGCTTCTCTCCCTGGGAGCCTCAAGGTAGGAAGAAGGGTAAAAGACAAGGGGGCCGGCCCTATTCCAAAGCGTGGGCAAATAACTTCTGGCTCAGTGCATCAGTTTCCGCTTCTGAAAAATGGGTTTAATAACAGCCCCGGGGTTGAGGGAAGATGGAGATAAAATGGGCGTGGGCCCCAGTGGCCGCCCCCTCTTTGTTTTCATTACACGATCACCTCCTCCCCAGCCTGGCAGCCTTTAGGGATGATGGGTCGATGGGAGACCCCTTCTGGGTCGTCCGCCCCCGGGGTCATCTCGGCTGTCCTGTCTCTATTAATGTACCAGGTACCCGGCAAACGCTCTAGCTTACTCGTTGGCTGACTAACCACTGTCAAACTCGGCAGGTCCCTTTTCCTTTTCCTCTCACCGTCCCAGTTCCCCTCAAGCCCGACTCTGCCTCGGCCCCACCCACCTCTCAGCCAAGTTGCCACCTTCTCGGGGGTCCAGGTCGCTACTGGCTCCATGGCCGCGGCCAGCCGGTTCGGATCTGCGCCGGTTCCGTCCCGCCCGCGCAGGAATTTCCGCTCCCAGACCCCAGGCCTGGGGAGGAGCCGGGCTGGGCCCTGGGCGGAGCCACCAGCATACCTGGCCCACGAGGCTGGCCCGGTGAGGCGCTACGACAGCCATTGGCCCGCCGTCTGCCCGCCTCCTGCCCCGCCCTGCAGGCGTCCCCGGACGGGCGGTGGCCTGACCCGGGGGCGGTGCCGCTGGTGTGTGACCCAGGCGATCCTGCCCCGAACCGGCCTCAAATCTTAGGGAGGGGCTGTGACCTTTATGCTCCTCAAAAAGAGGCCGAAGGGAGGGCAGTGAGCACAGCAACAAAGCGAAGAGGTTAGGGTGCCAGAGCCCTGGGTGCAAATCCCAATTCCGCAGCTTGTTTTCTGTGTGACCAGGGGCTGACCCTCCCGGACGTGCCAGTTTCCCAGTCTGTAAAATGGGCTGCTGTGCGTTAACAGCTCTGAAAACTTTTGAACAGCGTTTTTTAGCCCTTCACTATTTCTTTTTGCACCATGGACCCTTTTGGCAGTCTGGTGAAACCTATGGGCCCTTTCTCAGAATAGTGCTTTTAAGAGCATAAAACAAAATGCTTAAGATTACAAAAATTACTACCCAGATATATTTATAAACACAAATTTATAACAGTGATGTGTTTATTAGCATTAAATAACAAGACTGGCAAGTTAAATTTTCCTTTTCTAACATCAGTGTGTGTCGCTTGAATAACATTAGACTGTAGTTATCATTATCATCATCCCAGGCTAGGGGACTCTCAGCACTTTGCAATCAGACAGAATCAGTTCTATTGACTGTGTGACTAAGCTCAACCCCTACACCTCTCCAAACCTGTTTCTTCCTCTCTAAAAGAAGGACACCTAGACCTTAGTGCTAAGACTTCCTTTAAGTATTTTGAAATCTGTAACATGGAGTAGTTCTGAGTAATTATTACTTTATTCTGTGGGGAGGGGCTTGGCAGGCCTTTCCAGAGTCTGCCCCTCTCACTGTGCCACCTAATTTGGAATACCTAACAGTGACCCCAAACCTGGCCTTCAAAGCTTGTCACAATCTTGCCTATAATTCAGAGACCCAAAGTCTGAATTTGGCCTATGGATGGCCCATGTAGTGTACGTGTTTTGTCACCATTAATAATTTTACATATAAATTGAGTTCTCTGGGACTCTGCCAGCTTGCTGACCCCCATTCAACCTTCACACCTGGCATCAAACAAGAGTGCAGGTTGCCAGCTGCTTCCTTCAATGAGTCTCCAGCTCACTAGGTCCATGCAGGCCTTGCTCCCTCATTTGTAAATCAGTAGGCTCCAAATTTGCAATATGACCCTCACCTCTCTGCCTTTGTCCTTTGCCTCATGTCCTTACATCTGCACCGTGTGTCCCTCCAATACGCCTCTTACAACAGTCTCCCTATGGCACTCTCCGAAAGCCACATAAAAAGACCATCTCCACATTGTGATTTCTTCAAACTCCTCCCTTGGACTGGCCCAAGATACAGAGGTGAGAAGCCAGGCAGCCCCTGCCCTCACAGTCCTGCACAGTCCAGACAAGAACTCACCACTTGTACTCATATACTCCCCTAGAAGGATTGGGGGCCTACCAAACACAATGGTGCCTTTATTCTACGCCCCCAGCACCTGGCAGGGCTTGGCAGTTAGGAGTACAGTAAGTGGCATCTTCTATTTTAAAGGTAGTTTTGTGAGTTTATAGTTCTTTCAATATGCTTGCAGTAAAAATTTCAAAGNAACCTGGAGCCTCAGCTCTCGGTGAATCTCATCCAGGTCTGGCCGCCGCCGTTTCGCCTTCATCTGGCGGGCCAGGGAGTGCGCTCTGTGTGCGCCCGTCCGACGGGAGCGACCCATGGCCGGTGACAGCGGAGCCAAGGGGACCACAGTCGTCAGAGAACGTGTGCAGGCGCTTCCGGGCTACTCAGTGACGTCACGCGACGCCCAGGGGCGGAACAGGCGCGTACAGACCTCCTGTGATGGCGTCATTTGAGCGGGCCGCGCCTTGAGCGCCCCCAGGCGGCCGTCGGCGTCAATGACGGAGCTCCGGGCGGACCCAAGAGAACTCCTAACCTGAGGGAGGAGGCAGTCGCTGGAGGCAACGGGGTGGTTTGTGCCGGGCGGTGTGGGAGGTGAGGGGTGGATTCCGTGCTGTCCCGCAGCCCTGCGCACCCGGCCTGGCCTATCCTATCTCAGAGCCCTCCTCTGGCTCTATCACGCCTTCCCTGTTCCGAGATTTTAGACTCTGCGGGGAAGCGCTTTAAGCACCCCTGGGAGGCCCTGAATATTGCCCGTGATGTAAATTAACATACGGTGACCGCGAGTAAGTTTGGGATCCCGACTCCCAGGGATTCCTGAGATACCTCCAGTCCCTGACAAAGCCCTCACCACTTTAAACGCACCCCAGTTACTCCCTCAGATCTCCATCCTCCATCCACGCGCAGCCAAATCTGTGAAGGATGGGTGTTCCTCCCCAGCCATGTTAGAGTAGGCGGTTAGACATAAACAGGAGAAAGAGGCCAGCCCATCACCAAGGAAGTGGCCTGGAAGACTGTCCTGACCAACCCCCAAGCCCCCCCTAGTTCTCAGTTCTGCAATCAGTTTATCAGAATATCCAGAACCACAGGGACTTTTCGGATTACTGAGTATTAAAATAACATCCACACCCAGTTAGCATTGTGGTTTTGCCCACCCCCGCCTCTGTGGGCTTCACTCAGGTACTTACGGATAAGGTGTCTGTGCACTAAGAAAAAGGTATATAACCTACAAAAGTTATATAACAGGTCATTCAACCTGTCAAATAATGTAAGAAGTAGGGCAAGATTTCCCACCATCTTAGAGGAAAGAGACCAATCCTAACCCTGATTTCCAGGCAGCCCACTCTCCTTTGGTCTCGAGACTGTACTTTCACTTTAACCCAATAGATTTCTTGCTGCTTTTTCTTGTGTTCTGGTTTCTTGACTGAATTCTCTCCTTTTGGGAAGATAAGAACTGGGGAAACAAAACATATTCAACCAGTTAACATCTTTTCTGGTGCCATAATTACCAGAATTGCTACTCCTGGTAAGCCATGTGTGCCTCGCCTCCTTGGCTGGAGGCACAACTTACCGATTCTCTGAGGGTCCTTTCCCTCCTTCTCTGTCTCTCATGGACCAAAAAACAGCTGCAATATGTGGTCACAGGTTGAGGGCTTAAATACAGTTAGGGTGTTGACCACAGGAAGACTCCTATGACAGGATAAGTCGGTCTGAGACCAGGGAAGATTGCATCAGGCACCCTGCCAACTCAAGACAACGTCGTGGACTAGGAGGCACACTGTAAAACAAACAAAAACCCATGTCCAGCCCTCAGGCGACTCCCTGATTAGTGTTTAATATGTCCATGTGGGACTGTTTATGTCAGTCCATCGCTCGTTCTACCCTCCGCTGCACTGAGGCACTGTGCCTGGTCCCCCCTCACTCTCTGTGCGCCCGTGGACTTCCTATTCCCTGACTCCAGTGTCTCCTCTAGTGCACAGTGCAAGGCCACCAAATGCTGTATCTGCACCGCTCCCCACATCTCCCCCAAAATGGATCTTACCAGCCTCCAGCCACTGTCCCCACCCTTACCCACCATTTGTTCTCTGATCCACCTCCGGTAGAAACACTGGCCGGAACCTTGGCTCTGCCGGCTTCTTCTACCTACAAACAGCTCTTTAGCCTCACCTCACTCCAAAAGGAACTATTCCTCTGGCTGCTGTGCGGGATGGCCTGCCTCATTCGTGCCTCCGAGCTCTGTTCCCTTCTGTAGATTGGACCTTTCACCACAATGGGTTCAAGGGAAATACTTCCTCTTGCTCTTGAGACCACTCCTCCCAACCAAGACAGCGCAACAGTTTCTCCTCTACATAAACAGAGCCTGTAGGCTACCTTGCTGGGTCCCAAGGCTGTTGCCTTTGTGAAGATCTAGAGGCCTGGGATTTCATACACTGTGTATTTCAATACACACCTCTCCAACCTACCCTGGGATATGTAGCCTGCCTAATGGGACACCCACTCTATCCTGAGGCCAGCTGGAAAGAGGAGGGAGAAAGGAAATCAGATACAACTTTTTCTGCACTCTGCAGATCACCTACATCGGCTCCTCTGATTTAGGAAGAACCTGACACAACTAAAAACTACAGGGGAAGCCCCACCTACCCTCTATCTTTTAGTGACCTTCCAAATGATAGGTTTCTTACCGTTGCATAGGTCATGGGAATGGGAGAGAGGGAACAAGCACTAACTTGCCAGGCTGAGAGGAACACGGGTACTCATGGGACCCTTACACAGGGGTCAATGGTGGAAAAGGATGACAGGCCCATACAGACAAGAGATGATAGAGGCCCCATGATTCGGACTGGGGCCAAGGGATACACAGTAAAGCTAGCTAAATCTGAAAACCCTTCCGGGGCCAACACAGGGATGCCCTGCCTGGCCCAACAGGATTTCAGGACAAAGGACGGGGACTCCCCCATCCTCCCACTCTCCTTTGTTCTCTCCACAGATGAGCAATCAAATCTCCATCCCTCCAGACTCACCTCTTGGGTGCATCCCTAAAAACTGGGATAAGTTTGACTTTTCAGTCCTTAAAAAAGAAGCAGTTTATTCTTGTATTCCAATAGAAGACTTCTGATATCTCTTCAAAAAACACGATAAGTAAATATGCCAACGCTGGTGCCAAATTTATGCATGTTACCTAGCTTCACTTCTACTAGCCATATTCCACCTCTTATCCACAAGGTGCTGACTCCCCTGAGGGTGGAATCGGGCATACTTTGGCTCAGGCCACTGTCTGTCTCCTCACATTGCTCCGCACCACACTCAGGCTCATTCCAAAGCCACAGACTCACCAGTGAAAGAGCAGCTACCCTCAGCCTAAAACCCTGTTGGCTGTGCTCCCCACCACAGGGCTGGGGCTATGTGCAGCCCACCCCAGCTTGGCTAAGGGCCACAGAGCCTGTTGATCCAGATAGCAGAGACACCTTCACCCTTCTGGGTTGCGGGGTGGCCATTCGGGAAAGCCTAAAAAGGAATATACCACAAACCTTCAACACCCATCTCCTCACCCAAAATGGGAATATTCCAATGCCCCCGGGAAAAATGTTCTCTTCTCTTCCTAACCCTCTCTCCGGAAAATATCCCATCAGCATTCACTCAGATGCTTCAGGTAGACCAACCCTAGGCAATTTAACATCCACCCAACGCAACCTCACTTTCCACCTACGCACTCCTACAACCCCCAACACCTCTGCAGGCATCACCCTTATCGATGGAAGAAGTGAATCAGTGTCTAATTTCATCCTCTCCTGAAGTCCTGGTAAGACCACCCTCTTCAACTCTTCTCTAAAGGGAAATTTTACCCAATTCTGCTCTGGACATCCCAGGGTCACACACTCTGCTACTTTCTTCCTAAACCCATCAAAAAACTGCTACAAACGCTCTCTTCCCACTGGCTTGAGTAACCACACTCCACTCTGGGACTCAACCTAAAGCAACCCTTCCTGGAAAAGCTCCACAGCAACAGCTCTCATGGACAGCCTAACATACCACTAGTCACATGATCGGTGGGGGCACTCCTCAGGACTCACCCCCTCCCCACTTACGGCTCTAAGAAGGAGAGCTGGTAGAGCTGACCAACCCCGAAGCCCTCCTTAGTTCCCAATACTGCAGTCAGAAACTGACTAGCTTATCAGGATATCCAGAACCACAGGGACTTCTCTGATTACAGAGCAAGTACACAAGTCTCAAGGCCTTGTCCCCAAAGTAACCCTACCTCATTAAAATAACATCTAAATCTAGTTAGCATTCTGATTTTGGCCCCGCCATGAGGTTCGCTTAGGTACTTATGGGTAAGGGGTCTGTGCACAAAGAAAATATTATATAACCTGGAGCTGTCAATCAAAGAGTCAGGGCAAGACTTCGTGCCATCTTACTAGAAAGAAAAGCCAACCCTAACCCTAATGGTTTCCAGACAGCCTGCTCTCCTGTCTCCAAGAGTGTACCTTGACTTTAACCCAATAAATTCGTTGCTGCTTTTTTACTCTGGTCTCTTGACTGAAATCAACATGTTCAACCGGGAATGACAGTGCTCAGGCATCCTGTCAGACTGCCAGCAACTCTCACAAAAAGAGGAAGTGCTCATAGAAGAACTGCCCATTTTTGCCCCCTTCCCCTGAGCCCTGGACTCCCAGGTGTGGGCTGGCAGCAAAGGCAGAGATACAGCCTAGGTATAGTGTGCCTGGTCGATGTGGGGAGAGCGCCAGAGAGCCTTTTCCCATTCATCGGAGGCTGTGCCTTCCAGACTGACCAGAAGAGCTTAGCAATAATTCAGGGACTCCAGCTCCTTGGAACCTATCACCAGGAAACAGGGAGACAGGCACATGCATCCCTGGGGAAAGGAATCAGTTTCCAGCCCAGACAGAGAAGTGAAATGTAAGCCCAGGGCACCAAGTGGGGGCTTTGGAACCTTCCCACTCCAGTTCACAGAGGCTGAGTGGGGACACAAGGTAGCGCCCTGCTGAGGGCACAGTTGGTATGGCTGTAGTCAAGGGGCAACAGTGTGGGTCCTGGGCCCAAGGACTTTGTAAATAGACTTTGTGAATGGAAGAGGATTTTTCTGGAAGCATTCCAAGAGATCAAATTCAAGTACTCCTAGGCCCAGGAAGGAGGTCTCCATGGAAAGCAATGTCTTCATTATTCTTGACCAATATGGGTCAAGACAAGGGGGACACAGAAGCTGGCTCTATCTTGCCCCCACCCCAGACTCCTTTGTCTCAGGTTTACCTGCTGGGCACTGTGCCAGCTAGGGAGGCTGGTGCATCTTTAATGAAGTCACCTGATCCCTGGGACAGGCTCTTAGCCTCACCAAGTTTCTGGAGACAGACCCACTGGGTGCCCACGGAGTCACCACCTTCCTGTGCCTGGTGTCAGGCCCATTTCCCTTGCAACTATGAACCAGGCCTTCTGGAAAACCTATAAGTCCAAAGTGCTACAGACTCTGAGTGGGGAATCTGAGGAGGGACTGGCAGAGGAGGTGGGTAAAATCCATGCATGCTGGGTAGGGCACGGGTGGAGGGGCAGCAGGAGTAAAAGGTACAATGTAGGGTAAGGAAGGAACAGGCTTTGAGAGAGAAAGGCACACTTGTGCAGAAGCAATTAGTACATTCAGGGAAGACAGATGGCATGGTACAATGTCAGAAAGCCACGATACTCAAGAAAACTGAGGAATAAGAGAAGACTTGGGGGCCATTGGAGGAGGGGGTCAGTGTCTCTTTTAAGGGCTGCCAGATGGGATAAATCCTTCTAGGAGTAGTGAAACAGTAGCCACATGGGGTACACTCAGCTTGCCACAACTTTCTAATGGCCAGAGCTGAGCAGAAGTGAAATGGCTTGCCTTAAGAGGAAGTGATCCCCCTGGTCCTAGAGTAGGGGAAGTGGCACTTGCACCCAGAGGGTCACTATAGCAGCATCAGGTCAGATCCATACTTGGACCATGTTTGTCCAGACATTTAAAAAATCAAAGGCTCTGAAATTGGGAGCAGTCTTACATCAACAGTCGTGCAAATATATGTGGCAGGAGCAGGAACTAGTTCTGTGGGGCATGCATGTGAGTGTGTATGTGTGTGTGTGAGCAAGTGTATGTCTAGAGAGATTGGTGTCCAAATTGGGCTTGTGTAGAAATATCTGTGTGTCAGTATTAGGATTGCTGCCTGTGTGGAATCCAGGGAAGGCATATGTGTAGGTGTAAACTGGGTATAAGTATTTCCAGGTATGTACATTTTGGGCAGAAGCCTCTGTCTGTGTGCCTCGTGAAGACATTTGTAGGTGTTGTTTACATGGTGCATGCGTGTGTATACATCTGTGTCTCGGTGTCTGTGGATGGGTGGAGAGGTTCAGTGTGCTGTGGGTGGGCCTCTGTGCGTCTGTCTGCAGTTGTGTAAGTGTACAGGTGTATGTGTATGTATCCTTGTATAGGTGCCTCACATCATGTACATTTATGAACAGGTGAAGAGTGTAGCCATGTGGAGGCATGTTCATATACAGGTGTATGTCTACATCATCATATATGCCCTTGTGTGCCTGTTTTTGGGTGTGTATGGATGTGTTTGGGGGCAGGCAGGCATGTGTGCTCAAGGGGACCATAGGGACTACCATACAGGTACTGTATGTGACTGGCAGCTTTGTGTAGTCATCTACCTGTATGCATTTATGGAGGGTGTGAGGGAACTAGGCATGTGTTTAGTTCTGTGGGGGTTGTGGTCCCCAGGGTTTGTGAAGTGGGCTAGCTGTGGGGGAGGGAGGTCCGGTTCCTCTGGGGCCTCTCTCACGCTGGGAGGGGGTCTTGTGTCCCAGAGGGGGAACCCAGTGTTGGTGGAGTCTGAGACAGCAGAACCTACCGAAGAGGCTTTCAATGCCATGTCACAGCTGGTGCGCCGGGTGAGTTCTCCATTCTTCATCCCAGCCCTGGGGAGCCTGGCAGAGGCTGCAGTGAGGTCCTGGGAGGTGGTGCTGGGGCCTCTCCCTGATTCTAGCTCCTCCCTCCCAGGTTCAGGGGGTTGGAGTGAAAGGTTGGCTGACAATGTCATCTCTGTTTAACAAAGAAGATGAGGACAAGCTGCTGCCACCAGAGCCCTGTGCTGACCAGTATGTGTGTCTGTGTATTGGGGGTGGGTGGGTGATGTTCTGGGATGGGCCTGGGGTCTCCCTTCTCCCATGTCCTTTCTTTCTGGCCTGTCTTACCACAGAGGGCTGGGGAGAGCCAGCCACTGGCTGTTTCTGTTTCTCTCAGCAGGAGAGAGGGTAAATCAGCATATCTGGGAGTTTAAGTTAGATCTTTGAAGGACTTTACCAGATGCTGGGATTGAGGCGATAGAAGGCATATTTTGAATTCTCTCTCCCCATCCCACAAAGGAGGGGTCATCTACCTGGAATCAGGAAACAGAGGCAAGAACCTTTAGGTATCTGGGTGGCCCAGATCAGTGGTTCCCAAATATTAGTGTAAACCCTCATCATGCAGGGAGCTTGTGAGAAACACAAATTCCCAGAACATCCTTCAGGCCTGGGATGGATATTTTCAGCAAGTCCCCTGAGGACGAGAGGCACACAATTTTAGGAAGCACTGTCTTGGGAAGTCTTTGATGCTGGGTGGTTTGGGGGAGGGACCTAGGGCCTCCTCTTCCTCCTGCCTCTATTCTGGCGCACACCCCAGCTCTGCTCTTTCCTCCTGCCCAGCCACACACCCCTTTTGACACTCCCCAAGGACCCCCCTGACCTAGCTGTCTACTTGCCCCAGTGTTTGCATTCTCTCTCCCCACGATCATCCCCTTTCCCTCCCAGCTCCAAGGAGTCTTCCTCACACTTGAGGCGCCTCTCCAGCCTCAGCACCGCTCCTTAATAGCCCTTCCCCTGGTATCCCGATCCCGGCCCCCTCTTCCCGGACCCCCTCTTCCCGGACCTCTTACCCTGACCCGCCCAGGCTACCCTGTCTCCAGTACTAGTCCCTGGACCCCGCCTGCTCCTGTTCGTCCTCTCCCGGGGCCTCTCCGCCTGCGCCCGACCGGCTCCTCTCCCGCAGCCCGCTGGCGGCGCGGTCCTCCTCGCAGGCGGAGGCCCCGGCGGAGGCAGAGCGGCGCGGGTCGGGATTCTGGGACGCGTTCGCCAGCAGGTGGCAGCAGCAGGCGGCGGCGGCGTCCGTGCTGCGCGGCGCCGAACCAACCCCTGGGTCGGATCCCGAAGTCGCAGACGAGGCTGCCGAGCGCCCAGATCCGGGGGAGGCCGATGCTGTGCCCGGCTTCAAGTGGGGTCTCCTCACCCACAAACTAGCCGAGATGAGGATGAAGGCTGCGCCCAAGGGCGATTAGCCGGGCTGCCCAACGGGGTGTCCGCCCCTCCCCTCCCCCTATAAAAACCCTAGGCCGACAGTCCGTGTGATCGCGTGCTTTTGTTCCGACAGCTAGGAAGACAGCTTTCGGGTGGGCAATCTCAGGGCGGGGTCCACCTGGAGAGGTCCTCACCTTTCCCCACAAACATACAGGGAGAAAAAGACCAGAGACAGCCTGGGTATCGGGATAGATTGTGTTCGATTTAGGGTACAACTCTCCAGGAATCTGGGGAACCCCAGAGGACAGGCCCCATTGCCCTATCCAGCCCCTAATTAGACAAACATTGCCTGTGGCTCTGCTTTGTGCACCGCCCCTGTACTAGGGGAAGGTCAGACTAGCAAGGGAACTCAGACTGCAGGCGGGTCCCACATAAGGTGACAGACAAGTCGAGGCACAAAAATAAGGCTGTATTTGGAAGCTCGGAATTGATGAGGCCGACTGGGGACTTCAGGAATTCCTGAGGGGGAACGAATATACGTAATCTTAGAAGGATGAGTGGAGAGAAAGGGGAGGGTAATCCAGGCAAAGGGAGAGGACAATGACAAGACTTAAGAGGTGTGAACATGTGAGGAAAACAGGTGACCTTGTGTGTCTTTGAGGGAAAGGAAGATAGTGGCAGGATGTGAGGCTGCAGGTGGCAAAATCCTAGTTTGAAGGGTTCCTTCCCTTATTGTCCTCAATTCTGAATCCTCCACATCCACCCTTTCATAACCAAAGTTGGACAGCAAAGCTCCAGGAAAGGGGGCCTTTTCCGGATAGGTGAGGTGGACCCCAGATTTCTGGAGCACATCCCCTCCCCAGAATGGCCATAACAGTGTTAATACTAATTCCATAGTGGTCATAACAGCTACTATTTAATGAGTACTTTCTGTAAACCGACCATTTTGTTATGTGCTTTATGACCACATCGAAAATACTTTTATGCACAAGGGATGCAGCTGCGCTCCTGGGAGGTTAGAGCTTGTCCAGGGTCACAGAGTTAGCCTGGAACCCACACTCCGAAACCTATGCGCTAAACGCAAACTCGCTTCGCTCCCTTCCCCATCGGTCTGCTCTCTAATCCAACCTCGTGACTCCTTTACATAACGTTTTCTTTTATTATTCAGCAGATTCTCTTTTCTCCCACCTGTCTTCACTCCCCAGACCTGGTCTCCACAGGGGCGCAGAGGCCGCCCCCTCCCTTTCCACTGCCTGTGCTGGGAAAGACCTCGAGATAATTTTGTCCCACCTTTCCAAGGTTCACGTGGGGAAACAGAGATTCAAAAGGAAGGGCTTTCTAACACACCCGGCGCTTCAGAGACAGGGCGCCCTTGCCCGTGCTCAGGTCCAGCCCCGCGCTCGCTTCTTGCCCCTGTCAGGACCCCTGATTCTCTGGGAGCCAGCTCCCGGGCCGCCGCAGTCACACCTCGGACTCGCGCGGCGAGCCGCGGGCGCGCTGGCAGCCGTACAACCACTGGATGACGCGCGCGTTGCGCTCCACCACGGACACCGGGGGGCGCCCGTCCCGCGCAGAGCCCGCGGCTGCGGAACCGCCGCCGCCCGCAGCGTCCGCGCGATCCGCGCCGCCGTCGCTGGGCGTCCAGTCACTAGCGTCCTCGGAGCCAGGAGGCGGCGACGTCCCGGGCTGGGGGCTGGCGTCGGCGCCCCAGCTCTGCGGGGAGAAGCGCTCGGCGCCCAGCACCTCTACTAGCGCTCGCTCCAGGCCGCAGTAGTTGAAAAAGCGCTCCTTCTCCGACAGGGGCAGCGAGCACGTGGGACACAGCGCCCGCTTTCCCACCCCTTCCGGGGCATCTTGGGGTGCAGCCCAACTCCCAGGAGTCGCGGGTCGCTCCGTTGGTCCAGGGCTGCTCGAGGCGGCGTCTCGGGGGGCGCCCAGGAAGAGGCGCCGCACCAGTCCCTGGCCCTTGGCGTTCTCTTTGTTCACCAAAACCTTGCAGTCCCGCTTCTGGCGGTAGAATATGAGGGAGTCAGGCCTTGGTAGCCGCCTGCCACTGCTCCGGCGGGTGGGTCTGGGTGTCCTGGGTGATGCGGGGGGCCCCAGCTCGTTGCAGGTGTGCGGGGTGAGTGGCCCAGGTCCCCCGCGGAGAGCTGGCTCCTGGCGTCGCGCTATCACTTGGTGAGTCTTGACATATTTGGCTTTGTCGGCCTCCAGGCGCTCCACTGCGCTGGGGGTCCGTCCTCTGGACGGGGTGGAAGGAGAGGCCAGAAGCATCTTAGGAGAGCTGGGTAGGACAATACCCCATACGCCACTGAAGGTAGGCAGCTAGTTGAGGAGCCAAGAGCAATTGGTTGGGGCTCCCTGGGACCTGCCAGGAAAGAGGAATGGTCAGGGAGAGAGTAGATGCCCCTGCACCTCCCCTGCAGGCATTCCTAGGAATAGGTTCAGAAGATGCCCCTCCCCCACCGGTCAGCAGGTGCCATGCCCAGGGGGCAGAAGCTCAGGCTATCCTTTCCCCCATCCCTCAAAGACACTGGGGAGGGGGTCTCCCTGGCTACCCAAAAATATTTGCCCCTTTGAGGATGCTCCAGTCTGGCCACAGGGCCATGCCAAGCAACCATCAGCAAGCAGGACACTTGGGAAAGGAAATAGGGCTGGGCCCCAGCTCAATTCCCGAAAGTGGCCTTAACCGGAAAAAATACCTCTTCCCAACCCAGCAACTTTGACTCCAAGACAAGGAGGCTTCCCAGCCACAGGCAGCTCCAGCAGGACCCACCCTTCCCTCCCCCAAGCACCAAGGTCAAGGATGGAACCACAGGGTAGGAGCCACCAGTACTTGCAGCCAGCTGCCCTGCCCAGGCCCAGGGGGATCACTGGGGAAGGAGAGGGAGGTAGTCAGCAGGTCCTGTCAGCCAGTTACCTGCCACTGACTCTGTGCCCCCACCAAGGGGATTCCAGAATGCCCACTGAAAGTTTTCCTCTGTAAACATAGACAAACAAAGCTTGTCTACTTCGGTGCTTCCATTTCATAGAAAAGGAGACTGGCCCAGAAAGGAGGGAGCTTGCTCAGGTCTTAATGGGAGTTACAGACTGGGACTGGAACCCGGGTCTCTTGCCCTGCCATCCAGAACTAGTTCAGACTGCATCTCTCACTTCCCTGTCGGAACTTCCCTCAATTCCTGCTATAAAAATCAAGCAATTTCCGTTAGAGATAGGCCCCTTGCCTCACTGAAAAGTTCCTTCCACTAATTCTTCCCAATAACCTGCACTCCCTCAGGGAAAATATGCCCTCAGGGTCTCTGGCCCCTTCTCATCCTGAAACCCCTGTGACCCTTCCCTATCTCTCTTCTGCTGGGGAAGGGGGCCAAGAGGGGTTATAAATCAAGAGCTGACAGTTCTGTTGGCAGTAACAGAATGGGCCACCCACGGCTCAGCATACCCCACCCCACCCCTGTCCCCTACTCCCCCCATCCACCATTCAGCTTAGAGGGACACAGCTGTTCTCCGGGCTGAGGGGACCTTGGGTCTGGAGGCAACAAAAGAACAGAACTTGCCAGGGATTGTGGGATGGGAGCCCCAGTGAAGGGCCTTGGGGCAGGGACCCTGCCAACCCCACCCACCCAGTGCAACCTGTTCAGCTTTCTGCACAAGGACACTTAACATACACACCACACATGCACAGAACACACTTGTACACTCACATCCATCTAGTATCTTGTACATCAGCCTGGCAGTGCCCTCCTTCCTGGCTCCCAAGGACTATAAGAGGCAATGGGTCAGATTCCAAGGTCCCAGGAGGACGCTGTGCTTGCTTGACCTCATAGGAACCCTCCTTTCCCCTCCTTTTCCCAGGCCTGAGCGGCGAGGCTATAAAAAGTCCCTAAACACAGGGACCAAAATAGTCTGCTGTCCACTGCCTCTTCCCGGCCTGTTGGGCTGGCCTCGATGCCGGGCCACAGATGTTCCATGCTAGAAACCCTGCAGGCATCCTTTGCCCTCTATGCCTTCGCCCACCTTCTCCCAGCCCCAGGGTTAGTGGTCTGAGCTCTGCCCAAGGCTTCAGCTCTGGACACGGACTGGGCGACTGTGCTCCCTGGTTTGGTATCAGCCTCCCTGCCCTTGGGTCCCTGGGTGCCCTCCCTCCCTTGCCCTGGGCTCAGGATGCACTCACCTCTGTGTAGGAAGGACGAATGCAGGGGTCCCTGGGCAGGGCCAGACCGAGGGCAGGACGGACAACAGGGACTGGAAGTAACTTTGGTGTCCGCCAAACCTCATTCTCCACAGGAAAAGCCGAGACAGCCTCCACCCCCCAGGTTAACCCTCGCCTTCCTGACCCAGAGCCTGGCCTCTGGTTAACTCCTTCCTGGTCACAGTCTTAGTACTGGAGAGGACCTTTGACCAGATCCAGCTCCTTTATTTTACAGAGGGTCACACAGGCCCTAACAGGTTAAATGATTTGCACAGAGACACGGTGAGCTTGGGCACAGCCAGGACCCCAAGCGAGGTCTCCTGATTCCCAGGCTTCCTTGAGAGACAGGCTCTCCCTGTGGGGTCGGCCCCTCTGCTGGGCCTTGGCATATCTGCTTGTTTAGAATGGGCAGGCAGAGCAGGGTTCTAGTTGATGGTACTTCTGCCCCTCTGTAGCAGGTTTAGACCTGTCCTGATCTGGGTACATGGATGGTGTCAAGCCTCCTCTCCCTAAGGGTGAGGCCAGGAATCTGCAGCCTAAGGGTGGGGACATGGTGCTGCAGATGTACAGTTTGAGCCTGTCCCAGCAAGTCTTGGCATGAAGGTCACCTGGGAGCCCATTGGAGGTTCCTCTGCCCAAGGTCCTCTGATGGCTGGTGAAAGGGCAATACAGGGATGATTGTGGGGCTAAGTCTGGGTCCCTTGGCCTCCTTCCTCCTCTGCTCCCACTGGAGACTTGAGAGCTGGCACAGTTTCTTATCTGATACTTCATGTCTCGAGACAGGGCCCTGTCCCCACAATGCTGGTGCTGGGGGAGCTCCTCACCTTTGTACACTCACATCCATCTAGTATCTTGTACATCAGCCTGGCAGTGCCCTCCTTCCTGGCTCCCAAGGACTATAAGAGGCAATGGGTCAGATTCCAAGGTCCCAGGAGGACGCTGTGCTTGCTTGACCTCATAGGAACCCTCCTCTCCCCTCCTTTTCCCAGGCCTGAGCGGCGAGGCTATAAAAAGTCCCTAAACACAGGGACCAAAATAGTCTGCTGTCCACTGCCTCTTCCCGGCCTGTTGGGCTGGCCTCGATGCCGGGCCACAGATGTTCCATGCTAGAAACCCTGCAGGCATCCTTTGCCCTCTATGCCTTCGCCCACCTTCTCCCAGCCCCAGGGTTAGTGGTCTGAGCTCTGCCCAAGGCTTCAGCTCTGGACACGGACTGGGCGACTGTGCTCCCTGGTTTGGTATCAGCCTCCCTGCCCTTGGGTCCCTGGGTGCCCTCCCTCCCTTGCCCTGGGCTCAGGATGCACTCACCTCTGTGTAGGAAGGACGAATGCAGGGGTCCCTGGGCAGGGCCAGACCGAGGGCAGGACGGACAACAGGGACTGGAAGTAACTTTGGTGTCCGCCAAACCTCATTCTCCACAGGAAAAGCCGAGACAGCCTCCACCCCCCAGGTTAACCCTCGCCTTCCTGACCCAGAGCCTGGCCTCTGGTTAACTCCTTCCTGGTCACAGTCTTAGTACTGGAGAGGACCTTTGACCAGATCCAGCTCCTTTATTTTACAGAGGGTCACACAGGCCCTAACAGGTTAAATGATTTGCACAGAGACACGGTGAGCTTGGGCACAGCCAGGACCCCAAGCGAGGTCTCCTGATTCCCAGGCTTCCTTGAGAGACAGGCTCTCCCTGTGGGGTCGGCCCCTCTGCTGGGCCTTGGCATATCTGCTTGTTTAGAATGGGCAGGCAGAGCAGGGTTCTAGTTGATGGTACTTCTGCCCCTCTGTAGCAGGTTTAGACCTGTCCTGATCTGGGTACATGGATGGTGTCAAGCCTCCTCTCCCTAAGGGTGAGGCCAGGAATCTGCAGCCTAAGGGTGGGGACATGGTGCTGCAGATGTACAGTTTGAGCCTGTCCCAGCAAGTCTTGGCATGAAGGTCACCTGGGAGCCCATTGGAGGTTCCTCTGCCCAAGGTCCTCTGATGGCTGGTGAAAGGGCAATACAGGGATGATTGTGGGGCTAAGTCTGGGTCCCTTGGCCTCCTTCCTCCTCTGCTCCCACTGGAGACTTGAGAGCTGGCACAGTTTCTTATCTGATACTTCATGTCTCGAGACAGGGCCCTGTCCCCACAATGCTGGTGCTGGGGGAGCTCCTCACCCAGAACTCAAAAACAAAGCCCCTGCCAAGGGTTCCCACCCCTTCTAGCTGGCCACTTTCCACAAATCCCTTCCCCTCCTTCTAGCACTTTTTAATGTTTGCAAAGCACATTCACACCTGTGCTCTCTGACCTCCTTTGTCCCTCCCAAGGACCCTAGACAGGGGGCCCATTAGGGTGACCACCCAATTTGATAGGTAAGGAAAGAGGATGGGATTTTGCCAAAGTCCAACACCAAATCTACTCTTCCCAGCGCATCCTCCTCCTTTCAAGTAAGGTGATCTGTCTGACAGCTGAGAGGCCCAAATTTGCTGGTAAGAGATCTTTATTACCTAAAGGGAGGTGTTTTTGTTTTGTCCATGAGAATTCCATATTGCATTGCTACAGCACTTTACAAAATGTTTTCATGTACATTATCACAATTCATCCCCAGGACAATCTTTGGGGAGTAGGTTTTATTATTTCCCCCATTGAGAGCTGAGGAGACAGACTACGAGGGATGAACTGACTAATTCAAGTTCACACCATTAGAGCCAGTAGCTAACTTTTGCTGAGAGAATAATACATCTAGGCTCTGTTCTGAGTGCTTCACGCAATAGTTAACATATGTAATCCTCAAAACAAGCCAGTGATATAGATACTTTCATTCAATTTCAGGTTAGGGGTGCAGGCGGATAGCCCTGAGATCTGGTCACAAAGGGGTTAAATATGGAGGCTGGGCAGAGCCAAGCTGGGATGCTGTCAATGGCAGGAAACCTGGCCTGTGAAGGAGGGGGAGGATGGGGCTGTTGTGTCTGACTCCAGATACCACCCCCAACCCTTTGGTCTTAAAAGAGCATCTGGGTTGGACGGAAGGGCAGGCAGAGGACCTTCTCAGTGCTGTTCTGGGGACCCAGGAGAGAGGCTGGGCTACAGAAAAGGGAATCAGAGTGGAACACAGGTGCTGCCCTGCGGCAGCCGGTGGTCTACTGAGGGTGACCCAGCCTCCCCGCAGGAGCGCTCAGTAGGTAGGGGAGAAAGCCCCAGTCCCAAGAGTTCCCAGTCGGAGGCAGGGCAGACAGAGCTCTGCCCTCAGGAGATTGAGGTGGGAGATGGTCAAGGAGTGTAGCGTATTCTCAGGAGCTCCCAAGCTGAGCAGGTGATAGTTCCTGTCCCACGATGCCAAGCAGGGTCATGGAGGAGAGGTCGAACTGGATTAGCTTTCTGGGTGAGAAAGCCCCGAAAGAGTCAGCGGGAGGGGGTAGATAATGAGGAGGAGCTACAGCTGCTGGCCTGCCTGGCTCTTGGTCACACTTATCTCCAACCAGATCATTTATCTTTCTGGTCATGGGACCCCAGGGAGATCCTTAAAGTGGCTCCTTCCAGCTCCAGAGCCAGGACCTCAGACCAGTGGGGAGATCAAATCTGAGACATGTTATTTTCCTGTTTCCGAGCTCATTCCCGGATCACTTTGAGGATGATCGTAATGGGCCTGAGTCTCAATTGGCTCCTTCCAGGAGTGGGTGGAGGGAGGGTGAGAGAGCAGCTCTGGTCAGTGCTGGGAATAATGAGGCGGGTCAGGGAGGCCCTACAGATCCAGCCTCAGACCCCAGACCACATTGTCAGAGACGAGAAACATGCCACCTCCCATACCAGCTAGCCACAGCCCTCTTGCCACAGCCATCCAATACCTCAGCCCTGCCTTGGATTCTAATCCTGGTTTCACCACTCACTGGCTATGGGACCTCTGGCAAGAACTTACCCTGAGTTTCCTTCTGTGTAAAATGGGAGTGATAAGACCCAGCTCTTGTGTGGCACAAGGAAGCGCTGACTGAGAAAGCACCTGGCACCTCAAGGTGCTTGTAAACGTTAGATGAATCTGCTCTTTAGCCCTTGTGCTCCACCAACACATTCCTGCCACCTTTGGCCTCAGTCGTTTTTTTTCTGATCCCACAATTTCCCTCTCAGCTGCCATGGACAAATCATTTTGAACACTGCTGTGTGCTGTGGGGTCAGCAGACGGGTCAGACATGGTTTTTGCTCTCGGGAGCTAGGCCTGCTTGTTTTGGGTGTGAGGTGAGTGGCATGCAGAGGCATGAAGGACTGAGCACAAGTGACAGCAGTGCTACTGTGAGGAAGATGAACAGAGCGGGAACATGGGGGTGGGAGCTTTATCAAAGAGGAGGTCTGTCTGGGCCAAAGGGATTTCTGACAGGGGTGGATGGGAGGCTGGAGTGAAGGGGAGGAGGGACGGTAACAACAGTAGACCACGAGGGCAGCAGGAGCCAGGGTCTCAGAGAGGGCAAGTGGCTGGGGGCCTGAGGGGGTGACTCAGGAGTGCTTAGAAGAGGGGGTGCAGAGAAGGGGGGCCCTGAGGAAAGGCAGGCTCAGAAAGGGGCTCCGGGAGGCCCAGGGGAGATGGGGGCCCAGTGAGGGGCTGGGGGTGGGCGCCAGGACGAGAGTTCCGAGGGGGAGGGCCGCGCGGCGGCGGAAGCGCCCAGCGGCCCCCGGGAGGCGCCCCTCCCCGCCTCGTGTGCGCCCGCAGGGGTGAGAGCTGCCGTCCTCCTGTTCACGGCTTTCCGTTTCGGAAAGAATCTCAGGCGCAACAATAGCCTGGCTCCCTCTCCCTCGGAGGGGTGCGGCCTCTGGCGGAGCCCGGCGCCGCCGCCGCTGCCCGGTGCGCCCGGGCTGCAGGGCGGCGATCGGATCAGAGGAGGGCAGGGGTCGTGGCGGGAAGGTGCCATGCAACGCGCGCGCCTACGTGTTGCTAATGAACGACGGGAATGAGACGGGATTTCTGCTCTCACAGAGCTTATCGCCTGGCTGGAACGACCAAACCAACTGCAATCACCGCGTGTGTGCTGTGTGCTGGGCGCCCGGCTAGGTGCTGGGCACTCAGCGCCTCCCCGACTTCCCGCACAGCCCCGCGGGAAGGCGGTGAGGAGCCAAGCGCAGAGGCGCGGTAACTCACCCGCGGTCCCCCCGCCTGCAGGTGGAAGAGCTGGTCGGAGCCGCAGAGCCGCCCGGCCGGCCCGCTTCTGCCGCAGGCGGCGTGCATCTGCCCTCGCTGCCCGATGCTTGCCTGGC